CGGCCACCCACCAGGACGAGAGCCCAGGGCCCATGCTATGCTGCTTCTTCACACTGGGCCCCGGTTTCCTCACTTGCAAATGTTTGGTTAGACTGGCGATCTGGCTTTTTCTGGCTCTTTGTCAGTTCTAATATCAGGATTCTAATTTCCTGGACATTTGTTCACTACCTGTGACATTTGAATAAGTAATGCTGCCTGTCCTGGTCCTGTAAAGGACTTACACAAGGGTGCCTTTGAGCCCTAAATGAGGACTGCAGAGATCACTGAAGGAGATCAAGACACCATTGTCAAAGTAGAAGGTGGTATTTTCCACTTTGGTCCCGGCACCCATGGGTCATGGAGACCTGTAGGATTGTACGCATAGCCCCCTCCCCCTCTGTTTTTCTTGATACTCTCCAATGTTTGTCTCCTGTGAGCTGGTGTTTTTTCTGCCTCTCTGCTCCCTGGTCACTTGTCCGCCATGGTTGGGGTGCTGGCCTTCCACATTCTCCTAGGTGGCCAGGAGTTGAGCTAATGTTGAAGATTAGCAGGCTTAAAATGATTTCAGACTTATCTTAATTTGGACTGTGATTGGACTGCAATATACAACTGGGCTGTTTGTGGAAAGGGCCTCTTGCCAATAGTATTCAAGTATGTGAGTCACAGATGAAGCTTCCTTATCTAAGAACAAACTGTTTCAGAGTACTCTTAGGAACATCAGTTACATCCAGCGGGATAGTCACAATAGAAGCAGAGGGCAACCTCGCTTCAGCTGGTCGATGTACAAGCACTTCGTGCCTCTAAAGGAAGACCTGTCAGTTGACACTTTAGCCTTGCTAGGATGCTGCAGTGTGGGAGAAGAACCAATTCCTTAGTTTGCAACCTTACCTTTGAGGCCGGGACACTGAGTTTTGAGAACTGCACAGCACGAGAGTAGAAATGACCTCACCAGTGTCTCACGGCACAGGCTTTTCCTGTATATTAAAGCTGAGAATTGATTAATTGGAGGCTCTGGGGCACAAAAGGTATTGCTTATTAATTTAAAAGAATCAGTTTGTATAGGAGAAGGATAAACCAGGAAGAGCTTACATTTTGGTTATGCATCAGCTCTTTAGAATGTCCACCCTAGGTGCTTTCCTGCAGGAAGCCTTGCCTCTCTTCTCTGAGATTAATACTGCTGTCCCTGTACACAAACAAACTTCCCCTTCCTCCACCCAGACTTTTTCAAACATTTTTCTCATTTCAGGCTGCTCTTTTTCTGGTTAGAATAGGATGTTCTTTCGTTTCGATCAGATAATCTGGCTCTGACCTTTCTGAGTGTACAGTTAGTTTGCTAAAAAAAATAACATGATGATAATGAAAATAAATAGTTAGAATTAACTGGGAATTTACCCCATGAGCTAAGTGCTTTATTTACATTATCTAATTTAACTCTCCCAACAACTGGAGCAGTTACTGTTATCACCATCATCCTCATTATCCTCCTTGTCTTCCCTTTTAAAATAAATGCAGAGTCCTAGGCTTAGTCTGATGAAACTTTCTGAGGCTACAGTCTGTCTGTAGGTCAGTCCTTTTCTGCAAGAAGACACCTTCAAAACTCCCTAGGGCAATTTAAATAGCCACCTTTCAGCTGGGTGTAGTGGTGCATATCTATAATACCAGCACTCAGGAGGCTGAGGCAGGAGGATTGATGTGAGTTTGAGGCCAGCCTGCACTACAAGGCGAGACCCTGGCTCAAAAAAAAGCAACCAGCCAACCAACTCAAAACAAAAACCGAAAGTCCCACCGCTCTGTTTAGAAGCATGGGCTGAGTGCCTGAGGAATGGGGTTTTCCTCCTTCACTTCTGCACTCTGAGATCCTGCTGGAGTCTCTGTGACTTCATTTGCTGCCTGCTCCCCTGTAGCACATCTGGGGCAGGTATGCTGCTGCTTTGGACCCCAGGCCTCAGAGGGATAAGACAGCAGTTCCTCATTCCCCTTCAGTTTCATGGAATTTGGGAGGAGCTCCCAGGCTGAGGACTTTGTGATCCCGGGCCTGTTCCTTGCAGGGTAGATGGGGAAATTGCTGAGGGCCCTGGGGAGAAAGGAGCTGTGTTTGGGCCTGTGGGCCTGGCTGGGGGCTGGGGGCTGGGAGCAGTGCTCATGTGCCTGCAGGGATACAATGGGCCCACTCAGGGGCAAAGTGGCCCCTGGGACCCACTGATCCCAGAGGTCAGATTATATCCCCTGAAACAAAGCTCTGGACTTGGCCTTTTCCTTACGAATTTAGTTCTGTCCCCAGTAACCTTCGCTGGGACTCTGCGCATGCCCCACTGGAGGAGGCTTCACAGGGGTGAGTTCTCTGTAGTCTGTCTGACCACAGTGCCTGGCAGCGTCAGCACAGCCGGGGGCAGAGGCACAGCTGTGGGTGCTGGCTCAGGGCACAAGCCCTGTGCAGAAAGAGGCCTGCCTTGACCGTGGAAGCCAAGGACCCCAGGAGTGAGTCAGCATGGCCGCCCGGACCCTGGGCCGAGTCCCCAGAGGTGATTATTGGCCAGTGAGGAGAAAGTAGCCAGCCAGGTTTCATTAACATGCTGTCCCTGCCTGGGACTTGTCTAGGAAATATGCCCTGCAGGGCCAAGGGAACCTGAAGGGGTCAGCTCCAAGTTTCCAGTGTGTTTCCCACCCAGGCCTTCAGAGATTGCTGAAGGGCTCTGGCCTGTGAGGAGCCACACGGTCAGGTGTTTCAGACACAGCCAAGAGCAGACATCCTTGGTCGCCACAGCCACTCTATCTGGCCTTCGCCACCTGTGTGGCACCGGACTGGCTCTCCAGATCTTGCAGGCTGACCACTGCTACCAAACACCGTAATTTCCCCCAAGATAGGTTGTTTACCATAAGCTGACCCTCAGTTTCATGTGTGGAGGGCGGTCAGAGAACTCTTACAGTAATGTGCCTGGCTGCTAACTGGCTGGACCAAGATTAAATCCTGGTCTGTCTGGATTTCTTTCCAGTTCACAATTAGGCCTCCTTAGAAAGTAGCACAACCCAACCCGAGTTATTGATCTTGATGAGTAGCCGTGGCTGTGGGGTAGCACGTGTTGCCAGGGAGTATCAGCTATGACCATGAGATGAAGTGGGAGTAGAAAGTGGTTCTGGGGGCAAAGCACTGAGTACAGCCTCCTTGCAGAAACTGTAGAGGTGAGGGGCTCATTTTGACAGCAGTCGTCCTTTGAGTAGGCTGGAGCGATGCCGTCTGCTCTTTGCCTGATTTCTGTGGATAGGCTTGTGCTGAAACAATTTGTCTTGGGGGAAATTTTGGAGTTCAGTACCTAAGCAAGAGCAGAAACTTTTCTGTAGCTTTTCTACCTTAGTGGTAACTTCTGGGTCTCACCTAGCCTGTCTGATTGCTCTTTTCACGGGCTCTTCCTGTACCTCCCTGCTCCACTGGTATGCAATTACTGTCTAATCTCAATTTCAATATGTCCTTGGTCCCAAGAGGCATGCTTTTCTTCCCCACACTTTAATATCTGTGCAGTTGGCGCGCATCTTGTCATTGAGATCTACGTTTAATGTGATGCAGCTGTGTAAATGGATGTTGCATTTTTGGAATTGATGCAGACCAAGAATTGAGGAAACAGGAGTGCCTTTATGCAACCCATCCATCACCTACAGTAAAATGTCAGGTGTTAATGCTCTGTGCTGGGAATGCAGAAATAGCTATTATGCGGTCCTGGAGGTCTAAAGCAGGGAGATGGACTAGCCAGATCCGTAGCTCAAGCGCACTGTGATCGGGGTTCTGAATTCGGGAAAGGATCAGAGGAAGGAGGGGGTTGGGCTGGGACAGAGAAGGTGGACGATAAGGGAGGCTGGGTTGTGCAGGGGTTGGGAGAGTGTTGGGAACAGGTTAGAGAGTAGTGTCCCAGACAAACTGAATAGCAGCTGGAGCAAATAGATTCAGTCACGAGAAACTAGAGTGTGTTTGGGAGCATCAAAGGGTTCATTGTGGCCAGAGTGCAGGGCCTACATAGAGCCTGGGTGTAAAATGACACTGCAGGAATGGGAGCTGAGATCTTGACCTTGAGTGCCATGCAAATTAGTTTAGTCTCTATCTGAAGTCCAAAGGTGAATCATTGAAGGGTTTTGAAGCAAAGGGATCTGCCTGACTGTGTGTTTAGGAAAACCACAGAGAAAACAATGGGAAGAGGGCAGTGGGGTGGGGTGGGAGGAGGTGGGCAAAACGACAGCTATGAAAGAGAAAAGAAGAGTCACCGTGAAGGACGTAAAAAACCTTGTTTTCACTGACAGTTCTCAGGCCGATGGACTTGATTCCAGAAGTTTGAATTCGTAGCTTTATGCAGTCCATCCATCACCTACAGTAAAATGTCAGGTGTTAATGCTGTGTGCTGGGAATGTAGAAATAGCTGTTATGCAGTCCTGGAGGTCTAAAGCAGGGAGATGGACTAGCCAGATCTGTAGCTCGAGCGCACTGTGATCGGGAGAGTGTTGGGTGAGCTTGCCTTAACCTTAGGACGGGTGCTCTTGTTTCAGGAGAGCCATGTGGTCAGTAGACAGGCTGATCCATGAATGAATGCCTGGAGATGCTTGAACAACAAAAACTTACTGCTTACCTCTGCTTGTTAAAGAAGTGTCATATTAACCCATTTGGTGACATTCCAAGTTGTACTTGCCAAATTAGTTCACTGTTCAGAATCTTTTACAATTGGATGAGAGTTCCAGCAATGGGAGACCCACACACAGAGGAAAAGCACAGTTGGTGTATCTCAGCATGATACAAGATACTAAGTTTTTGGAGTCAAAGAAAGCAGATAAATTGTGGTTGTTTGTGTGAGTCATACAGCAAACATTGATGCTGGTGGCCAACTGGTCGACCTATGAGAGCCATTCTGGAGCAAGAGGTGGGGTGAGAGGTGGGAAGAGCTCTTCCACTTGTGAGCAATGCTAGAAAAGCTGTGAGAGGTGACTCTTGATATGGTGATTCAAGACTTACGGTTCTCTTCCTTTCCCACTTCTCTGAACAGGTGCAGTGCCACACCTACACAGGGTACTGCTGGTGTGTCACCCCGGATGGGAAGCCTATCAGCGGGTCTTCTGTGCAGAACAAAACTCCTGTATGTTCAGGTACCGTAGGGAGGGGCGGGAAGCACAAAGGGGGTTGGAGAGAGACTCCTTGGTTGGTCTCCTGTGTCTCGTGGGGGAACCTTTGAAAGGTTGGTGGTGGCTGTGAAGTCTTTCCCAGTCAGGGAGGACTCCGCTGTAACACGCCTGCTCCGTAGTCAGCTAGGTGAGGAGGGTCAGTGTATACCTATATATATATGTTTATCCTTTGGAGTTGAGATTTCTGGTTCAATGCTGTTTTCCTAAGCATTGACTGAAAGCCCTAGAGCTGGGATGGCATTTAAACTTGTAGCTATGCTGATTGATTGCTGTTGAAGTCTTATTGGAATGGACACTGAGAATGCATGGGATTTCCACATCAGTGATCAAATAGTGATGCCTGTCACATGTGCAGGAGAGGACAGTGGTGGCTTCTACCATAGAAGTGCTTCCCTTGAACAATATAAAGTAGAATCATGGAAAGTCTCTCTAGTGGTGGCCCTTAAATCTGGCTAATCCTCAGAAGTACCTGGGGAATTAAAAAGAACCCAGATGTTAAGGCTTCTCCTTATACATTCTGATTCTGTAGGTTCAGAGTGAGACCTGCAGTCCTTATTTTTGTGAAGCTTCCCCCTGTTGTTCTGAAACTACTGCTTGATGGTGATCTTTTGGGTTAGTCCATAGAAAAAATTAAGTCATTACGATTCCCAACTTTATAAGCATCGAGGAATTCTGTTGTTAGGTCAATTTCATGGGATTGTGGATTATGGATTTACGTAAGCCCCATGCTGTCCATTTCTATTCATGGGTAAGGAACTTGTGAGTCACTCTTAAATTCACCATGTAGTTCAGCCCTCATTCCAAAAAAGCCTGTCTTATCTATCAGCTGCTTTATGTTCCCTCTGTCTGTGTATAGGTGGTTTTATTATTTTTAATTTTATGTGCAAAAAGTATAAAAAATTATGCTGAAACCTATGGGAAATTCCAAAGGGTAGCAGTCTTACTATCTTAAATTTTTTTCTACAAAATTGATTCACTTTTCTAGTAGCCCTACTATACAAAGGCAAAAGTAAGTGGAAAGGGCAGAAAGAATGTATGTTAGGAAACCAAAATTTATGTACTAGAAGGGAAGTTTACTTTATTTGTGGTTTATATGGAAACTGGAAACCTTGATTGGGGTTGAGATGGGCAGAGGCAGAAATTAGTCTTCTTTGCAAATGACCTGGAAAGTTTCATTTAAAGCAAACGAAGGCACTAGAAACAGCCGTAGAGGGCAATATGACAGAATTTGCACAAAGCTAGTATTTGGAGAAGAGAATGACATTGATTAGGAAAACATAGATTCTCTCTTGTCTTTTGCTGGTGGGACCTCCATGGATGCCGGTCTGTGACGTGTGGTGATGCCCTGCATGTGTGGAATTGAGCTTCATGGCGAAGACAGGTGTCATGGGGCTAGGCCTAGAGGATGGGTGCATGTAGCGTCCTAGTATATGCAGGGCAAATGTTTGGATAAACACATGTGCTACCCCCGCTTAGGAACAGGCTGGGTCTCTAAAATTGTTTCCATGCCTCAGACTATTTTGGCCCATTCAGTACAATTGGGCCAACAATTTTCTACTTAATGCAGATGGAAAATCACCGATTTCCTGCCCTAACCAGCAAGGGACGTCAATCATTGCATTTGCAGTAAGAAGGGTCTCTTTTCAGTTGGCTCTGCTGACTCAATATGGCCCAGACATGGAGTTGATGAGAAGTGGGGGCATGGGTGTGGATTCAAGGGGCAGGTATTGCAATGTGGAGTTACGTGGATGTGAAACTTCATATAAATCTAGTCAAGACTAATGCCAGGGAACCCTGAAATTGTAGTTCATCTTAAAACAGTGCTGGGTTATCAGTGACACCGATGTTAAACAAAGCCCACTCACGATGCATGTGTGCACTAACTGTGTATATCCCTAGATGTGGGATATGTATATGTCCACGTGCTCATAGCATCAGGCTTTGCCAGCTCTGTGAAAGAAACCCAACGCAGTGCACCTGAATGGCTGTGTTTTTGTTTCTCCTCTCACCTAAGGTTCAGTCACCGACAAGCCCTCGAGCCAGGTTAACTCAGGAAAGAAAGGTGAGTGGAGTTTTATGCTTTATCTAAATGTTTGCATCTCAAGCCGGTCCACGAAGGAGTTCTTAGACAAGATAGAAGGAGCCCAGGGTGAAAGCTGAAAGTGGCCTACAGAAAGTCTGCTCCACTCTCTCCCTGTTTCCTCCCAGGAGCGCTGGAGGTAAGGCTCATGTGGCGGTGGCTGTGAAATGCCCGGAACTTTCAAGGGGAGTGAATAAACTGACAGGGACCTTTATGTGAGCTCTGGGAATCTTGGCTTCCTAGGGAGTTCAGTTGATCAGCTACCAGCAGGGCCAGTGTTTGCTCAAAGAGGATGAGAAAACGGGTGTACATGTCTTTCCTTCGCTATCTTGTTTATAAACCTATAAAACCTATTTGGTTATCCCCCCTGCCACACACACACTGATTCTCCTTAGTTGTGTGTCCCAGCACATCTAGACTTCCCTCACTGAGGCTGGGCTGGCTTCATGGATGCATGACCTGTGTAGTTGCTTTCTTGAAATTCTAAGTCATTTTGTCTTGGGTCTGGGAGAACAGTGACACAATGCATGTACTCAGGAAGATACGTGTAGTACGGGTCTTGGTTGCTGAACTTGGTTGCTGAACTCACCACGGTTGCCCAGAGCTGTCGTGAGGATGCTAAACTGTTTCAACAGCATGCTTAAGGTTTTCATTTTTCCTTATCTGTGCAGTATACTAAATAGCACATTAGAAACCATCATGCCACATTCAGAAGAGACAGACTATGGAAGAAAGGGTAATGCTGTATATTTCAGTGCTTTTCATGTTACTTTTCCTGATTCTCGTACAGGGGGCCCTGCGTCTTCCTTTCACACTGGGCCCTGTGAGTTAGAAAGCTGGTATCTGTCTGACTGTGTGCAGTGGACCCGCTGGCATGAGGAGTAGCCTTGGGATATGCTGACCACAGTACCCAGTGTTAAGACAGTTTGAGGCCTAAAATTCATGGCTATACAGAGAGCTGGTAGTGACCTAGAAAGCAAGAATCTGTTTCCTTGCATGTGAGCACTGCAGAGCTCCTCTATAGCTAGACTGAAGGCTTCCCACTTGCATCTAGACCTCGAAGATGACATGCTCATGAGCTTCCACCCAGAGAGCTGGACCTGCTGAGACTCAGCAGGAGTTCACAGGCTTGTCCTCTACACGTACTTCCTGGGAGACCGAGGTCAGGCCCAGCCCCTGCCCCAAGTGCTTATGCCTTGGGGATGGGAAGAAGAGGCAAAGCCACCTGCCCTGAATTCAGGGGCTCCAGGAAGATGTGGAAGTGGCACATGATGCTCCCACCCCCTACTGGGAAACGCGGGCCCATGGACCAGTTACGCAGCTCCGTTTTTCCCGGGCAGGAGTGTGTAAGTGGTTAGAAGAAGGGTGTAAGCACCTGTCCAGGTCCTTTCCAGAGCCGGGGGGAGACGGCCCTGTGTGCAAGTGCTTCTTCCCAGGTGGAAGAGTCGGGAGAGAGGAGAAAAGTAAGTCTCAGGACCTGAAATCACCAGTGCTGCCAATGGTGTGTGTCTGCAGAGTTTGGAAATGGGAGATCGCTTCAGTTTCACGTGTTGCAGCTGACACCTTCAGGCTTATCCCCTGGTTTCCGGGCATGAGGTCCCAGAGGAAGAGGGCAACACAGCAGTTGTGCAAAACTACTATTCAGATTTTCCCCACCAAAGGAGCTGAGTGCGTAATGCTGAATAAAATATCGGGGCCAGGAAAGGCCATCTGTGGGATTCGCGTTCTTAAACTGGACAGAGACGTGTTCTCCAGGTTGACGTGGCTTTGCACGCTGTGGGTGATAGAGACAGACCCATGGCCCCTCAGGGCAAGCCAGCTGGAAGAGGACAGGTGGGCTGAGGATGACATTTACGGTAAATGACAGGAACAGCGCCTTTGGTTGCCTCTTAGTCTTGGGGTCTGCTGCAGAGGAGCCGTCTCCTCCAGGGCTCCTACAGGGAAACGGGTAGGATCCGAATTTCCCTCTTGGAGGGAAAGCTTGCTGCCCGCTCCTTGCTATTTGCTTCTTGCTCTTCATAGGTTCCCCCCACGCCATAGTTCCTGCAGAGGCTTCTTCTCTGGGGCAAATGTCAGGACAAGGGGTGTGTGTGTGTGTGTGTGTGTGTGTGTGTGTGTGTGTGTGTGTGTGTGTGTGCACTAGGACTACTAGCGCGCGCACTAGGACTACCCCCCCCTGGGGACTCGAATTCTGCTCTGTGGTCTCTCTTTCCCTCTACTTGGAGGATCAGATTAGGCACGGAATCATCTTCTCTTTGTGTATCATGGGCAGGACCAGGAGAAGCAGGTTCGGGCCACCTGTGGGAAAGGCCACCTGAAGTAACACCTGTCCAGGAAGCGCAGTTTGAATGGGGACAGGGTGCGAGAGAGAGGGCATTCGTAATATCCTGTGTCGACCTACCGAGGTTCCTCTTTCAGCTGCCACTTAAGAATGGAATGTGCTCTGCAGGGCAGCAGGTGGGAAGACACAAAGGCCCCTTGTCTGAGCTTGTGCCCACACGTGGCCGCCCCCAAAAGCATCTCCCTGGAGCAGGAGCTTACGGTCTCGGGCCTGCCACAAAACCGTGCTGGCCTGCCCCTGTGCAGGCTGAGGGTATGGCTGGAAAGGAGGCGAGGCTAAAGGTCTGCGGTGTGAGGTCGGGGGCTGCAGGGCCAGGAGAGGACCTAGACTTCTTTTTTTGTACCCTCCTGCCTTTTTGAATCTGCCCCACTGACAGGCCGGGGAGGGGTCTGTTCTCTTTGCCTGGAAGGAATGAAAAGCCGTATTGTATGACAACAGAGAGTCTGGTTGCCAGCCAGGAATTAGTCCTCCGAAGGCTCGGAGGAGAAAGGCAGAGTGCTAGGAGCCCGGGGAGGAGGCCCAGAGAGATAGCAGGAGGAAGGGGCAGGCAGGAGGGGGAGGCCGGGGCTCGGAGGCCTGGGTTGCTGCGGGCCGGGTCGCAGGTGTGGGGCCTGAGGGAAGGCCTGGGAAGGGAGGAGGCCTGTTATCTTCCCCAGGTGCACGTGCTGCGGCGGGGGAGGAGGGTCAGAACTTTAGACTGTTTACTTAATCCCTTGGAATGTCCTTTCCTCTCTCTACTCTTGGGCCTCTTGTGCTGAACGGACTCCTTTACAGGCACATGTGTGGTAATTAACACGTGCAGGGGAGCCCGGCCATGTGTTTGGGTTTCAGATATCCATTGATCTGGGGCAGTCCCATCCCCGCTCCCCTCCCCTTCTCCTGTGGTCCTGGAGGAGAGACCAGAAGGGAATGTGTGCGGGGCAGGGCACATGTGTGCTCCTCTGTGTTTCACGGATGGGATGGGGTGATATCTGAAGTCAGGAGGTGCCCAGACTGCCTGATTAGCTCTGAAAAAATGTTGTGAAAACAGTGGAAGGCTGTAGAAGGGGAGAGGTAGAGATTCTCTGGAGGTTTTCTCTAAGGTAGGACGCAGGAAAGTAGCTGGGCAGCAACCCGTGATGAGAGGTTATCAGTTTCCCCTGGGTGGCTTTGCCTGGCTGTGCCACGGCCCACGGGCTTTTCGGAAGTGCCTTTTTTTGGGGTCTCGATGCTAATGCTTATAGGTGAGCTTCAGGGGGTGGGCTTGGCCTTCCTTGCTTAGAAGATACCAGAGAGAAGTTCGGAGCTTCTGAAGGGTTACGGGTGAAGAATGATAAATACAGGAACATGGCGGAGCGCTCGGAAGATGGTTTCTGGCAGCTCTGGGAGCATCTTCCCTCTGAGGCAGAATTTCAGAGGCCCTCGGGCTGATGTGGTGACACATGGCAGGTGAAAGTTTAGGGTCACCAGGAGTTTTCTGCAATTTGCTTATTTCCCCGTAAGAGCGAAAGATAACAACATTAACAAACTCTGCTTACATTTTACTGTCTGGGTGTCTCTATTTATTAAGCCACTTTCAGAGAAGGGCAGAATTTCCCAAATCCAACCCTCTTTTAATGTGCAGAGACTTAAAAAAAAACAAAACAAAAAACCCACTGGCTGCTCCATGGTATGTGTTCCAAGTAAGGAGTGAGTCACATCCATTCCCCTGAGGTCCCTGTCTGCGTCTCTAATTTTAGAATCTCTCCCAGCATGGTCCTCAGGTTGTGCCAGCTTGGAGACCTTGTCCCGCAAGCAGCGGCTGAAGTGGCCCTGAGGCGTGTACTTTGGGCCGGGTGGTAGGGTCGGTGGATGGTGGGCACACCAGATGAAGGAGGCTGTGTGTCCTCCAGCCTGGCTCTCATGGGGAGCTTGCACACCTAAAGGAGGTGTGCCGCCGTGCTCGGATCCCGGCTGATGTGTGCCAGGCTGGCTGTTGAAGGACATTCCACATGTGGAACGTCACCCTTGCTCACAGGACTTTAACCTCTTCCCCCAGTTGCTTTTCTTTTTTTCCTCCTAACCCAGCACCCAGGGGTGGGAGCAGAGGAGGCCGGGCCCGTACTGATGATCTACCAGCCTGAGCTGGATTTGCCTGGAGTGGGCCTCCTGCTCTTCCTCATGGGGGAGCGTTCACTTCGATGCGTACCTGCTGAAACAGCTGTGCCCAGGCAGCCCCAGATCCACAGGAGGCTGCTCTTCGACTCCGTGTGCCCATTCCACTACTTTCTGGTGCCCTGAGCCACCGTGATGAAGCCCGGCACGTCTGTATACCAGCTTTGCAGAGATCACTTTAGAAGGGGTGTGTGTGAGTGGGCCTGAGCTCTCGGGCACACACCATGAACATGAGATGTCTCCCTCCTTCCCACAGCTAACTGTTCCTCGAGCTTGGCCCCCTCTCCGGTCCCCTGCCCTTGTCCTTGGCCCTTGTTCCAGATCTTTGCAGGACAGTTTATGTGTGAAGAGCACCTAGACTGAGAGTTAAATCCCCGCCATATTCCCACCTCTGGGGGTTGGAGAGGAAATGGGATTTAGGAGCCTGGAAAGGCCTTCTAGTCGTAGATTTATTGGAGTCGGTGGTGGTATTAGTAACCGTTTGTATTGTATACTTGAGTCTTCTATTCAATAAATATTTATACAGACTTACTAAGTGCCGTGCTTGTTATAGTGTCGGAGGATCCAGCGATGAGTAGAACCGATAGGGGTCCTGGCCTCGCCTTCTGGAGCTCACATCCGAATGGTTCTCAGCGTCTGTGATGGGGGCGGGTGTGAAGCCTTCCAGGGGAGCAGTAGTTTTCTGGATCCTTGGAAGTTGTCACCTTTTCAGGTACCTAGGAGAAGCATGGCCCATCAGAAATTCTCGTGCACTGTCATTGGTACCTTCACAGAGCTTCTGAAGTCCAGGTGAGAGGGCTCAGAGCTGGTCAGGCCGGAGGACATATGTTCATTTGCTCAGTGTTCCTTGCCGGAGTTCAGTTCCAGGTGTGGCACAGCGGCTTAGACAAAACCAGGGATGAGGACAGGTGGGTGCACAGGCCTTGCGGCCATGCTGAGCTTCGCCTCCTGGGCCAGGGCTTGAGGGCCCCGTGTAGCTCCTGTGTAAAAGCTGATGTCCTGCTGCATGGCTTCTGTGCCTGCAGAAGGAAAGATGTGAGAGTTGGGGCTGCTTATTTCTATGGAAAGGCAACAAAACTAGAATAGGCAAAATGCTTTCTAAAAAGAAAAATAAAATGTAGTATTGGTGAAGGAATAGACACAGAAGTCAGTGGAGAGCAGAGAACCTCGAAACAAACCCGGTAGACCAAGCATTTCAGTGCAGGAAGATGGTCCTTCCAGCTAACGGTTCTGTAACAGCTGAGCGTCTGGAGGCCAAACAAATAAAACCAATAAATAACCCCCTAAACCTTCAACCTGAACCTCACACCGTGTGCGAAAATTAAACTGCAAAGCTATTGCTTCTCTTAGGAGAAAATCTCTTCACAGAAAACCTGAGATTTTAAAACTTGAATTTAGTTGGGCGTGGTGGCGCACGCCTGTAATCCCAGCACTCTGGAGGCTGAGGCAGGAGGATTGTTGCGAGTTCAAGGCCAGCCTGGGCTACAAAGTGAGCTCAAGGTCAGCCTAAACTGCATAGCGAGACCCTGTCTCAAAAAGGCAAAACACAACAAAACAAAACTTGAACTTTAAAAGCTTGATCTACAAAAAATCCTGTTAAGGAAATGAAAAGAACTACAGACTGGAAGAAATATTTTTAAAAAATGTGTATGACATAGGACTCGTATTTAGAATATATGATGAACTGTAAACACTGCAAGGTTGGAAAACTGTTCACCTAAAAAATGGACAAAGCATGTGAACATACATTTCACAAAGGAGATATACACAGAGCAAATAAGCATACAAAAAGGGGTCCCACATCATTAGTCACAGGAAGTACAAATGAAGACCATGATAAGATACCGCTAATAGAATAGCTAACAAAAAAACTGTTTTCATACTAAATGTCAGTGAGGCTGCATAGAGACTGGATCTCTTATATGTGCCTGGTAGGATTATAACAAGGTACAGCCACATGGAAAATACTTTGGGAAGGTTCTTTTAAAAACTAAGCATACACTTAACCATGATCTAGCAGTTGTACTCCTCAACATTTATTTTAGAGAAAAACTTAACGTCCACGCAGAAAACCTGTACGTGAATGAATAGCAGCTTTATGTATGGTAGCCAAAATAGAAAACCCAAATGTCTTTCGGTGAATTACACACACTGTAGTATATCTGTACCATGGAAAAATAGCCATAAAAAGGAACAAACTATTGATATGTGCAGCAGCAACTTGGAGGTCTGCCAGGGGCATTATGCAGAATGGGAACAAAAAGCCAATTTCCAAAGGTCATATACTGCATGACTGCACTTGTGCAATATTCTAGACATAAGAGTGCAGAGCTGTGGAACAGATGAGTGGTACCGGCGTGAGAGGCAGAGTGGAGGGACGAAGGCGTGGCTACGAGGAGGCGGCACGTGCGAGCTTTCTGTGGAGAAGGGCTAGTTCTGTGTCGCCTGGGGTGGCGACGTGAAGCTACGTACAGATGGACAGGTGTCGAACTGCAGGCACAAACGAGTGCATTGCATATGAAATTGGTAGGTCCTGAATAACACCCGTGGAGGAGGCCAATATCAATTTGCTGATTCTGACTTTATACTGTCATTACGTTACCTATATAATTACAGCTGTTCTTTGCTATCCGTAGGGGATTGGTTCCAAAACAGCACCTCCCCCCCAGTAAATACCAAAGTCCACAGGTGTTTAAGTCCCTTACATACAATGACATGGTATTTACATATATGTATGTATATTGTTCCATACACTTTAAATCACCTCTAGATTACTTGTATAAACCTCACATAATGTGCATGCTATTAAGTAGTTGTGACACTGTTTCATTTTTTGCTTGTATTATTCTTAATATTATATTGCATTTTTATTTGTGATTTTTTTTTCCCCAAGTATTTTGATCCGGGGTTGGCTAACTCCTTAGATACAGACCCTTGGAAATGGAGGGCCAGCTGCGTAGGTTACCTGTATAATTACATATATGTGCTGCCGTCATGGGGAGGCTGTGTGACAGGTGTGCGGAGGCTTTCTGCACATCACCACCACCATCATCATTTTCAGAGTTGCAGCATTTATGGGAGTTGGTAAGTACAAGACAGTGCGAGGAAAACCGTACAAACACCGACTCGTTTCGTCCTCACAGTGGCCCTATCAAGTGGGCACTGCTAAATATTCTTCTCCTCCCTATCTAACAGATGAACAAACCTAAGCAGTACGGTAGGGTCACACAGCCTTTAAGAGCCGGGATTAAAACCCAGACAATCCAACTCTGGGACCACTCTCTGTATTATTTGGCAACCACCCTTAAAATCTAATCACTTTCAAATAAAAAATTTAAAAAACCAGCACCATCTTCTGAACGAACCTGGCCTTCAGTGGACTCAGCTACTGCTGGGCGCCTCCCCAGCCCTGTTCTGCCTCCGTTGCCAACCTCTTATTCGGAGAAATGCAGGACTTGAGCATGCAGGGACCTGCTTGCAAAACAGCCAGCCGTGAGTTTCTTTTCACTTTTGCAAGAGAGTGTGCAGTTGGTTAAACAGTAAGATGTGGACCTCTTGCTTTGGAAAGGACTTGAAATGCTCTTGCAGGTCGGCAGAGGGATAGCTCCATTTCTGGATCTTGTTGGTCAGAGGACAGGTATCCCGGGGAATGCTGAGGTTGGCTAGCATTCCGTTCTCCTGGTGTAATTCTGGCCAGGTTCTAGGGACTTTTGCAGACAGTGCAGTTGTCCCCCTAGGATGCCCACAGTAGTTATCTTGACCTCGACACTGGGCCAAATTCACATGCTGAAGGGGATGGTGACTTTGGCATAAATATGATTGCTTCGAAAACAAGAACCTTCTAGCCCTTCTACCAGGCTTAAGCTTATCTCTGTGTCTTTTTAAGATGGACAGTGAAAGCTTAAAAGAGTATGAAGGAGATTCACCAGTGGTGGGCATGGTTAGGAAGGGCCCAAGAATCAAGGGGGACCTGGGGTGGTTGAGGAACCTTCCAAATCTCAGGATGGGGGGTGGTGGATTCTTTTTTTCTCATTCCCTCCTCAGTCTCGAAGACCCCAAGAGATGCCATTAATACAGATTCCTCCTCTGGCCCCTTTGACACACTTGCTTTTGAAGGACCTGGAAGAGAAAGCTCTTTGTATGTGGTCAGAATAAACTCATTGTACACCCAAACAATTAACTCCTCAATGGACTTGCCAGTCCCTTGAAAGGGCCAGCCCTGCTTCCCTGGACCTCTTGGGCTCTATTCAGTCCCTTAAGCACACCAATGTTTTGGGGGTTTTGTTTTGTTTTGTTTGTTATTCTGAAAAGTCTTTCCTTGAGAATAGTCAGAGCGGATCAACATTGTCCTCAGCCGGGCATTTATCTCCCCTTGCCAGTGAATGTCAATCAGGAATCAAAAAGCCAAACAGAGCAGGCTTTGAATGGTGTCATGGGGGTCGAACTGACTTCCAGCTGTCTATGCGTGGGCCAGGCCTTCTCGCAGAGCAAGGAATTGTGCTGTCATACAAACCCATTCTCTACATAGGCTCCCAAAGCCCATGTGGGGGCTGGAACTTTGTGGAGGCTGCACCTGCAAGGACAAGGCCTGCTTGGGGGCTGGGGAACCTCGGAAGGCCACACGCTATGGCTGTGGGGCTGGGAAGTTTCCAAAGCTGCTCACAGCCTCTGGGGCCTTGAGCAAAGCACTTACTTGCGTTGAGACTCAATTCTCTCTTTAACTGCTTGGCACCTTCCGGCTCCCTGAATGGTGGTGGGAACAGATGAGGAAGGTTACCTTCCAGAAGCTGAGCATTGCAAAATATGGCAGTGCTGCTGTTACTGTTGATCTTGGCGTCATCCTTGAGAAATTCGCTCATGCCTTATTTGCATATGGTGATGTTTTCAAATCTACCTCTTTCTCCCTCCTCGTAAGAAAAATTATTAGTCTTTGAATTAGCTATTTTTCCCAGTGTTCTATCTTCTTCCCCTTAGTCTGGGAGAATATTATGGTGTTAAAAAGAAAGCCTTCCTGTTTGAGGTCCAAAAAAATGACCAAGAATAAACACTGGGCATCAGATCACTGTATACATATTTGTAAAGTAGATTCAGGTATACATGTTAAAATATATGGAAGAGTCTCTCTCTGAATGAAGGATTGGTTATATAATCCAGGTGTGCTGCCTGATGACTTAGCTCAGGCACCTTTGGCAATCTCTGTTGTTTTAAAGCTCAGTGGAGTATAATTTATATACCAAAAATTCATCATCTGTATATATACAGTTTAGTAAATTTTTAGAGTTGTACAAACAACAGTAGAGAACATTTCTATCACTCCAAAAAGATACAACAAGCCTATCTATAATTAAACCTCACTCCCACCTCCATCCCTAGGCAACCATAGATCTTTCTGTCTCTGTGGATTTATCTTTATTAGACATGCCATCTGATTGGAATCTGACCACACGTAGTATTTATATCTGCTGCCTACATTTAGAATAATGTTTTATGAGGTTCTTCATCTGTATTGTCACATGTATTAGTTACCCACTTTTTTTCATTGCTGACTGGTATTCAATCAGATGGATATATTGTAATTTATCTGTTCGACAGTTGGCAGACATTTAGATTATTTCAAATCTGAGACTATTATGAATAATGTTGCTATGAACATTTGTGTACATGTCTTTATGTGAACATATTTTTATTTATCTTCAGTAGGGTCCCAGGAGTGGAATTTTAGGGTTGAATGCAAACTTATGTTCAGTTTTTTTTTTTTTTTAAAAAACCTGCCAAATTCTTTCCCAAACTTGCTGCCCAAAATGTACATTCCCACTGGCAATGAATAAGGGTTCCAGTTTCTCCACATCCTTGCCAACACTTGGCATTATCTTTTTAAATTTTGGTCATGCTAGTGGGTGGTTGATGGTAGCTCCTGTGGTTTTAATTTGCACATTCCTAAAGACTAATGTTGAACATCTTTTTATGTGTTTATGAGCCACCCATGTATCTTCTTTGGTGACATGTCTACTAAGACTCTTATTTCAGTTTTAAATCAGTTATAAGGTTTTTCTAATTTAAAAACTTTGATAGTACCTTAATTTTATAAAACAAAATTTAAAAGTTGCCTAAGGTGGCTAGCACTCATGAAATTATATACCCCTCCTAGTAAGTCTTTACACAACATTTTTTACACATACATAGTGTTCTGAGGCTTGGCAGGCAGACTTTCTTCGTTTTTACAAGAGGATATTGCTACCCAGAGAAGTAAAGTAGGGATTCAGGTTAATTGACTTATTGGATGTAAAGTGGGAATCAGAATGTGATCCCACATTGGACCGAGAGGCCAAGGACATATTCAGAAAACTTATTCCTTTCCCAGAGCCTCATGTGGGGCCTGGTGCTGTTCCAGGGCTTGCCCGGAAGCAGAGCTGCTGTGGACCTTGGACCCAGACCTTGGGTTTATGTTTGGAAGAAGAGGTGTGCTTATTTGCTAGGTCAGGAGCCAGGTGTCCAGGTGCCCGGAGATGATGGTGAGAAGGTCCTGTTGGCTTTGGCTAGGCTTCCTGGCCTTTGGGCATGCTGGATTTCACAGGTGGCTCCTGGCACCAGGGCACTTTGTCTTTTCTCACTTTATAAAGATTTCCATGTAGGGCCTCCCTTGTAGCACAGCAGCTGTATCTCCTCACCCTTGGTGACCTTACCCTGCAGGAAGACTCATTCACTATCGTGGCTTTACACTCCGTGGGCTCCCGTGCCTGCATCTGGCAATGTGGAAGTCGTCCACCTGCAGAGGTGCGGGTCTTCTCCAGGAAACTGCTGGCCGGGGGTACAGACCTTTTTGCTGATGGGTAAACCAGAAAGGCAGTCCCAGACTTCCATCTGGATGACAAGACAAAGACACAGAATGTTTGTTTTCAGTTATCTTGCTCCAAAGAGAGTTACAGCTCTTGTAATATGGGAGGATTTTAGTGTCTGAGCACACCGTGCTGGGCTGTTTACACTGTGAATTCCACATCCGGCAAAAGCAACCAAATGTGCATTACAGCTGCCAAAAGCCTCCGTTCAGTGGCTCATTGAATTCAATGGAAAGAGGTGTTAATAGAGGCAGGGGAAGTGATGCTGTTTTTTAAAAAATGACATTGTGTGGCTCTGTTCTGTTTTTCCTCTCCTTCGGTGACTTCCAGCTCAAACTCACACAGCATGGCATCAAAAGATGCCTGTCTGGGATCCAGTTGGAGGCCAAGGAGGTATCCGGGATAGCTGCCCCACTCTTCCTGCTCCGCCGTGTTTCTTAGGATGATTATCCGATAGTTCAGGATCACTTTGACCCTTGTGAGAGTTGGGTCTTGGTGGCAGCACATGAAAATAACAGCAGGGTCAGGTGTCATGCGACGGACAGGTTGCTGGTCTCAGTATCCATCAAGTGTGTGTATGTGTGTGTGTCTCCATCAGTTTCGAATCCTAGGATTCCAAAAGGTAAGATGTTGACAAGAGAAAGAGATCAGAATTATACTCCCTCTCCTTTCTCCGATAAGATGCAGGGGAGTCAGGCAAAGCTGGAAGCTCCAACGGTTGGAGGGTTGTTCTTCCTCGCGATCTTACTGGCATTTCATAGACCATCTGAGAACTTGCATATTCCTTAAAGAGTTAAAGCCCAGAGAATGTACTGTTCCATTCTAAAAGACCTCCGGGGGTTGAGAAGGGAGGGATGTGTAATCATCAAACCGCCTGGAACAATAGTGCTTCCCCTTCCTCCTCCCACTGAAGGAGAAAACAAAGAAAAATCTCTAAACTATGTACCCTCAAGATGAGCAAAGATACCTGTTCTCAGAGAAAATGAAATTGTTTCTTGGGGAGGGGGGGTGTAAAAAAGAAACTTTTTACATATAAAGGACAAAAATATATATGTGGTGCATGAATAGATACAGTTTATATGTTACTAAAATTTCATTAGGGAAGTGATAGGGGAAAACTCTAAAAATGCTCCTTAGTTGGGCAATAATGGATAAAAGGCCCAGAAACACTTCTCTAAATTAAAAGTTTTAAGCCCTTGATGAAAGTGACTCTGAGTCCTGGAAGGTAGATAAGCAAAGTCTCCACTAGCTCCTGACCCGCTGAGTTTTGCTCTGCGGAAAGAGCTGCCTGCACTTCTGGAGTGAAGAGCTTTACGATTTTGCTGCCGGGACCTCCTTGCTCCCGTCATCAGTGTTAGAAATTTCAAAGCAAGAGTCGGGTGATTTCTGTGATTTTGTTTGCCCCACCTCCTACCGGGGATTGTGGTATGTGCTGTTTCACAGTTTAAGGTGTTCTAAGGGTACATGACTTTCTTTAGTGTGCTGCAGAGGGACAGTGATCCTTCCTGGAAAGCAGTGATGCCCAGGACTCTGTTTCTCTTAAGATTTTCAATCAGGGCCTCTGGAAAAATGTTCGGAGCTGGTGCCTTTCATAAGAGGACAGAAACCGAACTGAGGGCTGCTGCCCGCGTCTGAACATGCCTGGCCCAAGCTCAGGTGCTGGAGGAGGTTCCTCCTCCTAGCATTTGTGCTGCGGAGCCAGGCTGGACGGGGCATGGGGGTGCTCTCAGATGGATGGGGAGGTCTTCCCAAGCAGGAGGCCACCTCCTCTGGTGCGTCCCTTGGGGTGATGGGTACACACCTGGGTGTGTTTTACTCTTGTGTCTATCTCTGGTTCTCTTTTCCTCCTTTGGTCTCTTCTTCTTTTTCTTTTTCTTTGGTTTCTTTATGGGGACTTGGCCGGGCCATGTACAAACCCAAACCATTCAACAGTGCTGGAGAGTAGATAGTATTTACCTCAATAATGGTAGTCTCTTTTCGTTTCTTTTTAACCCTCAATTCAGATGATGGGTCGAAACCGACGCCCACGATGGAGACCCAGCCGGTGTTCGATGGGGACGGTAAGCCCTTGCGCTGCTCACCTCGCGCTCTCATTCTCTCGCGGGATTTTAGGCTCCGGAAAAGTCTTCCCTTCAGATGTTTGTTTAAACTTCATTATGATGATTCTCTTTTCTAACTTCACTTTTTCCTAATGTAAGCTGGATTCTCCTAATGTTTTCAAAAATGAATCCAGCTCAGGACCTGGTATGCTCTCTACTTCTGGAAACGACTTCGGTTCTCCCTAGGCTTCCTGCCTGTCCCGTGATGTCCAACAAAAACACAGTCTGGACAGACTTTCTGAGCTGTCAAGATGAGGGAATCATGGCTGAGAAAGCCAGGCCGGCAGTGTTCTTTCCATGCTTGCAAATGCCTGCTCCGTGCCTAGCATGGTGCAAGGCCCCTGGGTGAGGAGAGGGAGTGTATCACTGTCAGCCTTTGCTCTCAAGACAGCTGCAACTGCTATAGAGTTTTCTGGGCTATGGTCTCAATTTTTATTGTAATAGACATTTATCACGGAGAGGTGGTAGTGGTCTGGGAAAAGCTTCTGTGAAGAGATGCTACTCAAGTTGGCTCTTGCAAGCCAAAGGGAAGAGTTGGGGTGTTCCAGGCAGGGAGACCGGCATGTGGGCAAGATGGGACACAGTAAGGGAAGTAGCAGCAAAGAGACTGGTCCACAGGGCTGGTTTGGCTAGGTTTTGGGGCATGGTGAGTGGACTCAAGACATTGGGGAGAAGAGGAATTCTAGCTCAAGGGGAATAGAGTCTTATGACAAAATAAAGGCTGGAGTCCCTAGAAGTATGGGGAGGGGACAAAAGGGGTTTTTGAGGGTGCAGAAGTCTGGCCTCCATTCAAGCTGGAGCTGCTCAGGGCCTCTATTGTTCAGATATTTTATACTGAATACTCCAGATTCTCAAGAGCAGGAGGAGGAAGTTTGGTAGGGTGAGGTTTGCAGAGCATCTGTGAGGGGTGTTCCCGGCACAGCTTCAGCTCTGGGGAGAAGGACTGGAAGATGAGATTTCATATGAAGTTGGTTCATTTAGTGGAACATACAAGGAGTGAACAAACTATACAGCTAATGCTTACATTTTAAAAAATATATTGCGGTAAAAGGCATGTTGCCATTAGTCTCCCTCAGAATACTCTCCCTCACTTCTGACATGCTCGTCCCGTCATTCTTGCCACTTTCTGAAGCGGTTCTGGAAGTCTCTTTTGTGAGGTCTGATCAAAAATTTAGTAAGCGCTGCTGCTGAACATCATACAACAGGAAAGTAGGCTTGTGGAAGCAATGCAGTATGTTCTTACCCACCTTATTCACCAGATTGGCACCTTGAGACTTCTACCTCTCCCCCAAAGTCAAAATGACCATGGGAAGTAAATGCTTTGAGCGGATAGAAGATATCCAGGCAGCCCCAACAGCACGACTAAAGACCCTCCTGAAAGAGGACTTCCAGAACTGCTTCAGGAAGTGGCAAGAACGATGGGATAAGTGTGTTTAAAACAAGGAACAGCATTTTGAGAGGAATTAATGGCAATGTGTATTGTACTGTAATACATTTTAAAAACTTTAAACGTGATTCCACCTTTGGTAGGTTCATGTCTAAAAATTCGAAAGTCTCTCATTCATAAGGGTCCTAGGTTATTGCAAGTCCTTTGAAGGAACAGAGATTGTGCAGTCTTGGGAGACTTCCTCAGTACCCTCACTGGAGACCTTGGCACTCCGTAGTGTGTTCAGGGTCACTCAGGATTCCCACACCCTCTGTCCATTGGGTGACCCAAGTCCCGGGTGCCAGGAGGCACGCTGGAGCCTTCTGGATGAAGCCATTCAGCCTCTGTTCAAGGAGCTGTGAGAAAGAGGGTTGGAGCACATGTGAGACCCACATCATCCTTCGCATGTGGAGCGGAGGCGCAGCAAGTCGAATCTGCTTTGGCTCAGCTGTTTCCTCTAAAACAGTCTCTGTGGTTGGTTTGGCGTGTGTTTGTTGATTTATCCCCTTTAAATCTTCTCCCAGGGAAGCAGCTGAGAGGGACTTGGCTTGGCCCGTGTTCCTCACCTCCTGGGATAATATTTTTATTCCTGGATGGAGTGGCTCAGTGTCACTAGACTCTGCCCACTCTGCCTCCTGCCACAGGATGCCCTGGTTGGCTCTTACAGAGTGGTGGCAAGAGGGCTTTTGTTTGTGAGCAGGGGAGAGGGCGGTCGACAAGGTGCGTACATCGACAGGGAGATGGCTAAAGTTTTGAGACTTCAGACTTTTAAAATAGACTTTTTAAAGTTCGGGATTACACCCCATGTTACATACTTCCCTCTGCTCAGACCTTCTTTCTTTTTTTTAAATACAGAAATCACAGCACCCACTCTATGGATTAAGCATTTGGTAATCAAGGACTCCAAACTGAACAACACAAATGTGAGAAATTCAGGTAAATAACCTTCTTTGGATTATATACACACCTAGAACACCCCTGGTGGTTTTATGGTTGCTCCGTGACACCTCGCTGTGTGAGCTGAACAAGTCATTTAATTGATCTGGTCTTCAATTTCTCCAACTGAAAAATAAGGAGATTTTATGAGCCTATTTTTTCCAAGTTTAATTTTCTTCAGTTATCATCTCAGGGATCACCTTTCATGAGCAGTTAATCCTTTTAGCTAAAAATTTTTGACTGTATTTTCATATTTTGACTTTTAATATTATTTTAACATCATGACTTTCTATATGCCATGCAGGAGAATTTGAAACAAGAATGAGTATAAAGAAGTTGAACTTCAAGCCTGGAGAAGCTTAGTTCTATGCATTTTTCATGCTCTAGCAGTGGATTTTAGTCAGTTTTTTTTCTGGTCTGACCTTTCAAAGGTCTTGTAGGTGGTTAAGTTTTGGCACTGGCTGAGACTTAAAAGGTGATATTTTTGGAAGTTTGATGAGATTTGTAGAGTGTATTTACCACTAAGATGGAATAAAGTCAATAAAATTCATTTGTTATCAATAAAAACGGAATGTTCATCAACAGGGAAATATATGAATAAACCAAATCTGTGTCTTTTTCAGGGAGGATCCTTCTTCTTTCAGCTAGGACTTCATCGTGGGAAATATTACTTTCTGATTGTGTTTTATGTCTGGTTGTTGAATTTGTCTAGGTGATCTTTTCCTTATAGGTGGCAAGAACTGTGAACAAATGAGACACGCTTTTGAGCAGGCAGGTGGAGTGTGACCTGACCTTCGTCTCTTCAGTGTGTTGTCCTTGGCCCCTGCGCTGTCTGTGTGCCAGCTCTGTCCTACAGGGGGCGATGCGGGCACTGGAGTGTGTGAGTGCTAGAGATCAAGAGGCGAACCCATGTGTCTCTTGGTTGCTTTTTCTCTGTGTTTCGGGCTGGTGAGCACCTCTCCATGAATCTGGCTTGCTGTTTCATACAAGCAAGGGGCATGGGGTAGTGTGATGGAAGGAGTTGGTGTGAATTCCCTGGACTAGAGTCTTTGACACAATAGTGCAGTGGTTAAAGAACAGACTTTGGACTCAGCAAACCCTGGGTTCACATTCTGACTCCAACACTTGGTGAGTGATCCTTCCAGTCAACTCAAATAATCCCCCTGGCCTCAGTTCTTATCTGTGGAATAGGATCAGAAGACTGGTTAAAGGTTTACTAAGCTAATATCTATGGGGTATTTGATGCCCGGCTGAGTAATAAATAATAAGCACATGACAAATCATATGTATTTATTTTTATTATCATCGATAGGAATAGTGGGATAAATGACAGTGCTTATTTTGAGAATTCTTCAATCGGGAAAGGATTTATGATTGTCATCCTAGGCATCTGTCACACAGGCATCTGTCAGACAAGTTTCTTCTAAGGACCTTCGTCTATTCTCTGCTTACTGTTAGACAAATAAGTTATAGAGAAGTGGGGTGGATACCGGTAGTGCCTGGTGCTGAAAGTAATGTTTGTAAGTGGTCTGTCTTGTCCCTGAGACCCTGGAAGTTCTGCAAGCTCTCGGTGAGAGGATTAATTCTCATTCCATGACCAAGCGCCTCATAAAAGGCTTCGTTCTCTGAGTCATACACCACCTTTTGTCTGAAACACTCACTTGACATGTAGTAACTGCTTCTATGAATTTCCTTTCCTTCTCCCAGTCTTTAACTCGGTAAGATAAGGGCTTTATCACCTACCTACTCCATCTATGATAGAGTCTAACTCAATGTATTTCACTGCTTTGGGGAAGACAGAGGAGAAAGATCATCATCATTCTTATCAGTAAAATTGGACTAGCATTGTCAGGGTAGCTGATCCTGAAGAATTTTACATTTGTTTGCTCATTTGAGCTCATTTCACCATAATCCTAAGAAATAACTGTTGTTATGATGTGTGAAGTGGTCCGTGTCCTGTGGTCATGGTCTCCATAATCAGACAGGAGTTGGAGGCTGAGAGAGTAGAGAAAGCTAGTTATTATAAAGATTACAGTGCCTATCTTCTTGGGCTATATTCTGAGTGTGACAGTATGATGATGTCAATTTCTGCTTTTTTATCTGCTCTCTGTCCATGTAGCTCACTGTTAGGGTCATGCTGAGAAATGATTTCCAGGCACATACAACCTGGTTCCTTTTATTGGCGTGACTGAGCCATCTTCAGTTTTCTTGGTTGGCCCCAGTAATGTCTGTAAGGTCAGCGTATAGGATGGGATGGTGGTGGGAGAGCTAACAGTTCTCTGGGAGAAACTGAGACCAGGGATAATTATCAGGTGCTGGTATCTTAATAATCACCTAAGGAATTGGGACTTTGTCCATTTGATCAACTGCCCATACCAACTGAATGCCCATCAATCTTTTTAACATACAGTGGTACCTCAGCTCACAAACTTAGTTCTTTCCATGATTCTGGTCACATGCCAAATTGGACAAGAACCAATCAAATTTCCCCATAAGGTCAACATGGAACCTAACCTTTGAATTTGATTTAGTTCTCGTCCAATTCGGTTTGCAACAGAGTTGTGCAAAGAATTAAGTTAGCGCTTTGTGCAGGGGCAGTATCACAGCCAATGAGGTTTATCCGAGGCACGATCACCGCTAAAAGAATGCAGTTATGATTGGAGGTACCACTGTACTTGTATATAAAAGACCTGTTTCCACAAAGCCACATAATGGGTGGCAAGAGGCCAGCTGACTATTTAGCAAGTTAAGTCTTACTGGAACACAGCTACGTCGATTTGTGTATCGTCTGTTGCTGCTTTCCTCTATAAGAGTAGACTTGAGTGGCTGTGATAAACCTGCATGACCTACAAAATCTAAAATATTACGCTATGATCTTTACTGAGAAAGTTTGCTGGTCACTGGTATATGTGATTGATTGAACAGAAGCAGTGACATGGGGGTCTGTACCTTGGGTTGTGCCGTTCGGTTGTTTTATCCCCTTCATAGCGCAAGTAGAGCAAGCAGAAGTAGGGGCTGTTGCTCCTGAGATGTTCCCTGACATCCCCAGGTAATCTGCATCAGCGCAGGAACTTTCAAAATTCTCCATCATCTCCCACGAACCATGGTCAGGCTTTGCCATCCGGCTCCTATGCGTGCCTTCACAAATGCTGCCCAGGAGGCATCCCGAGGTTTGGTGTTTGTAGGGAGCAGGGTAGGGGATCTTCTGTATTTAGTAGAGATCAATCATGTAATGGGCAAAGCGTGGGCTTTGAAATCAAACGAACCTCTAGACCTTGCTTCTGATGCTAGCGCTCCACTGGGGAGGCTTGGCGAGTTCGGGAGGGTCACTCAGGTTCCCTGCGTCTTGATTTCCTTATAGGTAAAACAAAATACATGGCAGGGTTTTTTGAGGCTTCAACTACAGATATACAATGCTTGGCACGGAGTAAGTACACCGTAAATGATTAAAAAACAAAACAAAACAATAGCAACCGTGGTGAAATGTCTTTATGTGTTATCCTAGCCTCTTCTTGCGTATTGTCACATTCGGTTTAATGAGAAGCCAGACATACTTGGATGATAACTGGCTCTGGGCAGATGGAGAAGACTAGAGCCACGAGGTCAAACACCTGAGACCATTTTCCATTAGAGTTCGATGGTAGAGTCTGGCTTGTGGCGAGCTTCACTCCACATGCTTGGGGAAGTTGGAGCAGGACTCCGAAGCCCGCCTGGGTGAGACCTCTTCTCAGCTATCGCTCAGAGGCAAAAACTATCCCAGTTTCTTTTACACCCTAAACATCCTTTTTTCACACTCAGACCCTGTGACGCCAGGTTTGTTTTCTGGCCTGGGGACTGTTGATGTTGGAAAGGTTCCACTGGGCAGCTGAAGTTGTGCAATAACATGAAACACAGGCCTGCAGACGGAGCCAGTCTCCTTCCCTCCTCCCGAAAGGCTTGGTCCTTGTTTTTAAGGCTTTGTCATGCGGTCAGTGTGGTCAGTGTTGCTTTTGGAGTCCTTGGCAGGTTCCACCTCAACAAATCTGCCTCTTCAGTCTTCTCTTCCGTTTTCGCCTCCAGCGCCCTCTCCTCTGTTGCTCCGCAGGTTCTAGTTGTACCCAGGAAGGTGGACCGGACATCTGGCACCCTGGAACTTGGGCGCAGCAACGTGTGTCTTTTCATGGCTGAGTAGTGGCCAGAGTGCTGCTTTTATAAGGAGAGAGGAACTTCTGGCGAGATCTTTTAAAATCAGGAATTAGCTGCCAGGATATTTCTCACAATACCTGTAGTTTGAAATGTTTTACCACTTACATTTTATAGGAGGGTAAAGAGATAAAATAAAAGACAAGGAAGAACTAGACTTTCTTTCTAATTCTTCATGCTTCTCATGGTTTCTAATCTGACTAGTTGCAGATACTTTAGAAGTCTTTGTATGACCAAATTCTGTGCTTCTTCCTCTGGGAAATCAGTCTCTCAGGAAAGAGAACCGTGCATGGCTTGGTTCTCCTCCCTGGGCACTGAAGTAATGTTCCCAAGGCCCACAGCCTGCGTCTCCCTGCTCTGGGCAATTGCGGTAACCTCATAGCCTCCAGTGTGGGCGATGGACTTCCCTGTCTGCGTTCCGCATCTCTTCCATCCCTGTATATTTTCCAGTTAACTCTTACGATCTGGTTAGGGACTTCATGAAGGCTGTAGAACCTTGCCTGTGAGCTAAAGGCCCATACCTCTCCTCCCCTGCTTCCTCGACCAGCTGAGCTTCCTGCTGTTCATCAGTGAGTGAAGCGACTCCTGGTAACTCTGCTCCCTGGAGACGGAGCCGCCATCAGGGACACAAGGTAGAATGCTTATCTTGTACGTTTTGCCGTGAAAACATGACTCCAGCTTCCTTCAATGTGAGAATGTCTGTGTTTGCCTAAGACACTGTCCGTGTCACAGGTGAGCTGTTCACAGGATCAGAATGTTGCTCTTGGCTGCGTTTTGGATTGCCCTTTCCTCATCCAGTTCCTGCTGGGGTAGTTGCT